ACAGTCTCCGATTCCCCAGTCCAAGCTTGGATAAGAAAGGCAGTGGTTCTCACCCTGACTGCGGTGGAATCATTTGTACGACTTTACTGTTACAGTACAGACTTTCTGGATCCTGTCTCTGGGCTCCCCTGGGACCTTCAACTCCCTTCTACTTGAGGGATGCTACTTCCCACCCTCTACCTATAGACCTCTTCCCCTCCTTTCTTTTCCTCCCTTCTTCCCTCATGGCTCTGCGTCTTCCCTGCCTAGGCTCAGACCAGCAGTCCTTTGGGCAGGTTTTAGTCACTGCTGATTTCAGGGTCAAATTACAGACTTTTCTACCAGGACACCCTGTACACATATCACCTGCGTCTCAAGTCCCCAAACTGCTTGCACTCAGGTTTACACACACCTACCAGGTCCTCAGCTCTGTGTGAGATGCCAGAAGGCACGGTTTGCTAATTGTAGGGAGCCCACACCACTGCCTTTACTTCCTCAGGTTCCTTTGTAGCTGTGCTGTACCTACTGACTGTCATCTCAGTGATTTAGTTTTCATTTTCCCTGTTTAAAAATGAACACTTGGTCTTCTGATATAAATGTGTGGATACTTCTTAATGTTATTGTACACCGGGGGCATCTACTCGCTGCCCCACACACTGTCTGAATGAGTGCCCCATCTCAGTCCCTACTTTGGCTGTAACCACTTTGCCTGTGACAGTCACAGCCAGCATTGCTACCCACTTACAGCTCCAGGAAAATTCCAGCACCATAGCCAGTCTTGGGCACGCCATTCTCTTCCTGCCAGTCGACCTATACAGTGTGTCGGGCAGGAGTCCTGGGATCCTCCATGGCCTCCAGAGTGTAACCTCTCCCCATTGGTTGGTTGAATCTCTTTGATGAGGCCTCTCTCTGCCTTAGTCCTGAGGCTTTACATTCCAACTCTCAGCTTAGCTGGATGCCAGGCCCCATAAAGCCAGGGTATAGGTGAACCTGGGCTCCATCTGCCATTCAGTGTCTCCCCAGTGATGGAGACTGATGCCCATGGGTGTCCAGACAACAGCTGAGTCTGTTGTGCCTTTATACACTGCTCCAGGCCTATCATCCTGGGTTCCACCAGCCCCAGCTTCTATAACTCTGTGCTGGCTCCAGAGCCCTACCCCAGCTTTATCCTCAGGCCAATCGTGGGGTTCCGAGCATGCCATGTCCTGAGCCAGGTAGATGGGCTGGCCTGTAGAGGTGTTGCTTTCTGATGGTCTACCTTGTGGGCCCCCACCCCTGCTGAGCCCTGCCTCTGACTTAGAGGATGGCCATATCTGAGCCAGAGGGGCTCCCCTTCCCACTGCTACCAGCCAGATTGCTCTCCATTACACACACCCCACTTATAGCTCCTTCTCTTATTTTTGCCACAAATTAACTCAATTTTCTTTTTATTCCACAAAGATCCAGTGAAAATCATTCTCTGATAATGATAGCAAATTCTGAACTCCTACTATGTGTGTTAGGTACTGTTCAAGCACCTTATGTGTATTGCCTCATATCATTGTCACGACTCTTTGAAATATGAAACATTACTATCTTTGTTTTACACATGAGTAACTGGGGCACAGGATTAAGGAATATGGCAAGTAAGTGACAAGATTATAGCCCACACTCCTTATGACCACACTTTTCAGTAGCTACAATTTCAGGTTTCTAGACACTTGGGCTTCCAACTGCTTGCCCAGCTCTGACCCTTATGCTTCTAGAATCTTCTTTGTCATCTTATTTTGATCCTTTCCCCCATGTCTGTTCTCCTGGTCCTGGCTATCTTGTCCTCTATTGCCTTCAGCCTGGTGGCAGAGAGGAAGCTGACCAAGGACTATCGATTTGCACTGGGGAATCTGCAAAGTGCATAATCCACGTACACGTCATTGAGAGTTGACTGAAAATCCAACTAAGGGCTTCCTTTAAGGACCACTTTCTGGGTCTTCTTCCCCATTTTTGCACCTGTCTTCCCAGCTCTGCTCTGTAGCCACTACTGACCCCAGTCACAACTGAAAAATGCATCCTGACCCTCCCTCCCTGCTTCTCCACAGCCAGGAGGTCACCTGGAATCTTCGCACCCATTGTTATAGCTGCTTGAGAGCCAGCTTCTGCTTCATCAAATGCTGCAGGGTGTTTGCCAGTGGGATCATCTTCTGAGGATGGGTTTGTAGCCTTCTGAAGAGCTTCCTGACAGTCTCAGCCTCCCCTCACTCAGCCCACATCAAGCAGCTGGGTTGTAAAGAAGGGGAACTTGCTATTTAGAAGGGAAATCAGAGCTGTCAGCAGGACATAAATATTCATAGAGGGAGGTTAGAACTTGAGTCCCTAAAACCTTGATTTGTGTTCCTCTGTTTAAGCCTCATTAAAAAGTGGTAAATGAAAGTGGGGATATTCAGTGGAACTGCAGATAAATTGGGCTTGTTCAGATAAAGGCCTCTGACTGCCAGCTCCACAGGCCCTGCCCAGAGCGCCACGGCAGATTGGCTTGGCCACTTGTAGTTTGCCAACCTCAATTTAAAGATTTTTCTTAGCATGAGTTCCTGGCTTTGCTCTGGGCCAGTTAGTGCTTTTTGGGGCACATGGTAGCCTTCTAGAGGTATTTAGGGATAGAAATTCCCAAACTTTTTCTTTCCCAGAATGACATGCAAACCAGGGCCTGGCCCAAGGGTGTGGCGGGCAGAAATCTAACCTAGGACTAATACTTGCATTAGGTATTCACAAAGTACATATCTACATGCATGTGCAGTTGCTTCTTCTAACTTCTTCCAGCTTCTATGGGCACGAGGGGAAGGTTTCAGAGACTGTTCCTACATGAGGCCTAAATCTGTCCCAGGTCCTGGGCCCAGCCATGCCCAACCCTACTCTCTGGCTACAAACACAAAGACTGCAGCGGGCCAGGCCTTGTGACCACAAAGAGGGAACAGGTGGCCCCCATGCCTTCTAGGACAGGAGCTACAAAGGCAGGCATTCTTAGAGGCCAGGCAGTTACATACATGAGTGGAATGGGCCAGTCTGGGCTAGACTTGAACCCTGGGCCTGCAAGTTTATACCATCTGCCCTAGGGGCTCCTAGAGTTTGGGAAGATGAGATTTGGACACACAAAGCTGGGATAGCTGTGTGCTTAGCCTAATGAGAGAAGTTAATTTGCCAGGGGGAAGTAGGCAGTACTCCAGCCAAGAGCAGCAGAGAAGGCTTCATGGAGGAGGTAGACCTTTAAGAATTAAGTGTTGTTTGGGACCTAGTATGGAATTTGGTGCCTTGGTTGTAGCTTCTACACCCTGGAATGGAAACGGCAAGTCTCGGGGTCCTAAGGGGCTGAGCTATGTGTTTTGAGGGTGCTGCTATGAAGGGTGGACCTCATAGTGGCCTGAAGCACCTGTTCCACTTAGTTCTAGCTCCTTGGCTCCACTAACTATCGCATCAGGCTATTGCTGTTCTCTGAGTCTGGCTCCCTAGAGCTCATTTCCCAGCAGCGCCTGTTCTAAGATGGCCTTTGGCCTCCCCAGGCACAGGCCCCATCTCCCGGCTGGGGCTGCTTCCCAGGACAACCTTACCTTTGGTGCCTATTAGCAGAGAAATGACATAATTAACCAGGCAATTAACTTAAGGCTCTGCAGTTGCTTCCTCCCACAGGGCCCTGCTTCCAGAGCTGGAGTTGGCAGCAGGCTGGGCTGCAGGGAAGGGGATAGATGGTGTTATCGTCTGTGCTGGGCATTAGGATGAGGGAAAGTGGCTGACCCAGAAAAGGCTGGGATGGGTGCTAGCCAGAGAGAGGGGCAGAAGGCCCAGAGACTTCAAATGCAATTCTGACACTGGCCCCAGAACACCTGCCTGGGATTTTGGGATTCATACTTACAATCATCGATTGCTGTCTGCAGGGACCACTCCAGAAGAGATTGGAAAGAGAACTGAGACCAATAAGGAAAGGGGTGTTCCAGTCTGACTCCTCAGAGAAGTCATTCTGTTTGGCCGGGGGGTGGGGGGCACTCTTTCATTTGTGAAATAGAGGTCATATTTGCTCTCCCTCATAGGGATGTGGTGAGAATGAGTGAAGTCAGATGGAAAATCGAGCATTACAGGGACCCAACCTAAGGTACTGTTCAGTCAGCTGCTGTGAACAACACAGGGCCTCTAATCCTTTCCACCCCCCTGAAATCTAGGCTCCTGCCAGCAGGGCAGTGGTGCAAGAAGAGCAGGTCCAGGCCCAAAGAGGTGGCCAATTAGACAGACAGATGGACACAAATGAACTTTCAAGGCCAAATGCATGATACCAGGAACCAGACTTGGATGATCCAGTCCAGTATATTATAAAACATTTTCCCACAACCCATTTCGCCAAGAACACATCTCTGAAACTAAAAACAAATGGGAAAACTGATGTCGTTGGCTACCAAGCTCTCAGAAACTTAGCTGTTTTGCCCCACAAGTTGCCACTACCTTGATGACAGGCAATGTTTTTGAAGAACCCAGTCAGAAAAATAGAAGTGTTTTTGAGCTGCATTTTTTTATACTCAGGACTTTTTATTCTCATGGAAAAATGTATATCCTTACAACTTATACTACTTTAAGATGAAGTGCATCAGTGGAAAAATACCTCTGCTTCTTGGCCCCTAGATGTCTAATTATCCATCTATACACCTGTGTGGCAGGCACCTGCTGCATTGAGCCCTGGTTGCTCCTGTTCTGGGGCCTCACTGGGTTGTGCGCTGGGAGACAGTGATTGAGGGGCTGCTCCTATCTGCCCTCAGCCCATGCTTGGGTCCAGTGGGTCAGGGAAGCTGTGAAACTCTGAGTAACACCCTCACCCATTTCCAGTGGGGCTCAGGCTGTACCACGTGGAAGTAGAGGACAGCAAAGACAGATGTTGGGGGTTGGATGGGGGGCTGTCCAGGAAGACTCCTAGAGGCTTCCTCTTCCCCATCCCAGAATGCCAACTATTTTGAAAGTTGAAGGGCTCTGCTGTCCATCTCTATCTGCTGGTGTGCTGTATGTTTCAGATCGATGGGCTGGAGGAGAAGCTGTCACAATGTCAGAGGGACCTGGAGGCCGTGAATTCCAGGCTCTATGGGCCAGAGCTGAGCCCAGAGGCCAGGTAATGCTCCTGACCCTCCACCACCCCCAGCCCTCTGCCTGCCCCTCATATCTATCCTGGGCCCTGGCCCTGTGCTTCCATTCCCCATCCACCTGCCACCAGAGGCCTAGCCCTTGTCCCCTTTGTCCAACCTGCCCTGGTGTGCCAGCTACCCCTCAGGTGGGAAGAAAGAAAAGGGCTTAAGCCATAAAACTTCCCCACTCACAGGAGGTCTCTGGAGAAAGAGAAAAACAGCCTGATGAACAAAGCCTCCAACTATGGTAAGAGTTCCCTTTTGTTACCAGCCCCACCTTGCAATCTCAGTGTCAGCAGAGGCAGACAGCCCAGGGAGCCCACAATGTGACAGGGATCAAGGAGGAGGCAGTCCTTCAGGAGGGAATGAGCCCTTAGGAGGTTGCAGGAGCTCACTGTAGGCCCAGGAGCCTGGAAGAACATGTTTGTTTTTTCATTCCAGGGGAGATGGATTTGTTGTTCTTCTGTGGGATGAAGGGGTATGGCAGTAGCCAGGTACAGATTCTCACATCCACCCAGACTTGGGAGGTCTGTCCTCCCTGCTCTCTCCTCCCTTAGCTTCACTCCCTCCCTGGGATGGGAGTGGGGGCAGCTGAGAGCCTGGGTGAAGCAAGGTGAACCTCCCACTTGGGCAGCATGAAGGACTATTGGGGGTGGAGCAATGCTGCCACCTTCTGGGCAGCAGAGGCACAGCCACGTAGAGCCCAGGCTGGGTGTGGAGCTAGAGGGCAGCTGCTGGGCCCACTAACACCCCACCCACACCCTGTCCCCGCCGGCCTGGAAGATGGTTTGCAGAGGTTCCTCCGACTTGTCTGTTCTGTTCTCCCTGAACTGCCAAACTTGGCCGACAGTCAGCCCCAGAACAGACCACATGGCAGGGAACCAGGGAACCTACCAGGGCCTCAGGCTCAGTCTGGCCTGCCCAGAGCTCGTTTGCAGCTATCTCCCTGCTCCTTCTCACGGGTCAGGGAGGGGCATTAGCTCCCCCTCAAGCCTATAATTTTCACACAAAATCGCAGCACCACCACTCAGTTTAGTCTTCAGAGTACTACCCACCTGCATGTCATAAGGGGACAAATAGTGTAGCTAGAGTAGCAGGACTGGCTTCCTGTAGAGGTGAGCTCAACTACCTTGTGGGCACAAACTGCCTTCTCTTAGCATCCCTAGTTTCTGCTTAGCTGGGCATCCACCACCTAGGGCAGGACTGGAAGCACTGGTGGTATGGTCTCAACCTGTACCTACTCCAGCATCAAGCCAAAGGAGGTCTCAGCTGCCCTCGGAGTTTCTACTTGGTCAGATGAGGCACCTTGGATGGATGAGTACCCCAGAGACGGGCCAGAGGACTCACCTAGTGATGCCATGACACTACCTAGTTTCATGTGTGGTCTTTTTGGTGACCTCCTCACACATTCCATCAACTTCAGCTGCATTTAGAGAAAAATGGTTGAGCACCATTAACTGTTGGGACTTTTAGGGGGCCAGAATATGTAGCCAAAGGTTGTGAGGATCTGGGCAGACCAAGGACAGAGTCCTTTTCATGGATAAGGAAGGAGCTGGGGAGGAATACCTCTGCCCATCTGTGGGAGAGGCAAAGGCAGATAAGAGTAACAGATGGGCCCAGACGATCTGCCCAACACCCTGTTTCCTCCCAGAGAAGGAGCTAAAGTTGCTTCGGCAGGAGAACCGGAAGAACATGCTGCTCTCTGTGGCCATCTTCATCCTTCTGACCCTCATCTATGCCTACTGGACCATGTGAGCCTGAGATTTCTCCAGAGTCAGCACAGACTTCCCCTCAGCAACCTGGTCACAGCCAAGCAGGCCCTTCATGCCTCAAGAGGACCTAGGTACAGGGGCATTTCTTCCCTACCCAGACACTGGAGAAGGGCTTCCTATTGGCCCAGCCCCTCCTGCTTCCAGGTGCTGTGTGGGGCCTGGGTCTCCAGAAGGACTTTGTGCTGGCTCCTCCCTTAGCCCAAAGGAAAGGCAATAAAGAACAGCCAGGATATTCCTGACTGCTGAGTAAATGTCATGATCTTACTGCAGTCGGGGGGGCACTGAGAGTGGCATTCAGGAATCAAGGAAGAAGAGATGTTCAAGGGAAAGGTCTTGGCTTAGAATTCAGAAGGGAGAAGGGGGGCTGTAACAGTGAGCCCCCAGCTTAAGTAGGGAATAAGGAGGCAGTGGGAAGTACTTCCCAAGCCAGAACTATGCTGGAGCCATTTCCAGGAATTGGGCATTGCTGAAGAGGTAGCCATTGTGCCACATGTCTACCACCTCCACCAAACACAGTCTTGCCCTCCATTCAGTGGCAAGACTAATTATGGCCGAAAAAAATGCAGTCTGTGCAGTGAAGGGTATCTTTGGGATTTGAAGTCACATGGCAGCCCCACGGAGACAAGGAGTTAATCCATCTTTAAGAGACAGGCAAGGCTGGTTAGGCCTAGCAGAGTCAGTGGGCAGCAAGAGCCATGGTAATGACCAGAGAGACTTATGGTGACAGTGGCCAGCAAATCGGGAGGGGATTATAGGGAGAAGCGGTATTGGTGGGCCTACTGGATAAGGAAGCAGGAGCCACAAACACAGACATCACCTGCTGTCCCTGAGCACATTCCCCAACCCTACTCCCAATACAGGGCCCAGGAGGGTCAGGAGTGGGAGGCTAGAGCAAGGCAGAGCCGAGCAGGGCAACCAAGGATGAAGGGCTTGGGAACTGAGATCACTCCCATTAAATAACTTAAACAAGGAAAGGAGTTGCCCCAGAAGCTCAGGCTATGAAACATCAAGGAAGAGCAAGGAGCCAAGCAAAGTGCAGGCAGGATCTAGGAGGAAATAGGCACCAGAGTGATATAACTGGTGGAGAAACTGGCCTGGAACAGAGAGGGAGGCACCATCAGCACTTGCATGTCCCCCACCCCCAAGCACAGCTCCCAGTTCAGGAGCAGAAAGGAGGGGAGGCGCTAGCTGGGGATCCACAAAACCATCTCTCCCTCTCTT